AAAAAAAAAAAAAATACAATTACATTATACCAACTTTCCAAAAAATGGAATTAGTAAGTTTACCTTCATTGTCAAGTAAGGATATCAAAAATGTTCGTACGTTACTAGAAAACTGTTGTGAAAAGGAAAATATATTCATCAAATTTAGCAACTATTCTGATTTTTAAGCTAACTGGTTACGGTCGTTAAAAAAAACAAAAATACAGGACTTTGGCACTATTACTTTGTCTTTTAGCACATTAATCGAAATTTTCTCTCTCCCTGCTCCACCTCCTTCCTTCTCACATCAAAATTAAAAAATGAAATATATTTTTACTAGTGTATTGACTAACTTTATTCTTCATAATTTTTCTTAATTTAGGGAGATGATTCCTATTTGTTTTAAAAGAATTAGTACTAAAATGTATTTACATTAACAAAGAAGAACTACCCCAAAGTGGTATAGAGAATGAGATAGTTTATCTAATTTGCTATAATTCTTCAATTTCTTTTAAAAGGCAATATAGCAAAACTTCGAGCAAAAAAATTTTGCGCCTGGTATTTTTCCCCCAAGCTTTAGTGAATATCAGCAGCAAACAGGCTTCCCACTCCTGTACTGCAGTAAGTCAATTAAGAAAGTAATATTCAGGTAACACTAAGCATCTTAAAACTTGGGTTCCAAACTTACAGAATCAACCTAAGTTACCACAGAAAAAGAGCAGTGTAAATACTCCCCCGACACAAGAGTAGGTAAGGTGATAGAGCCTAACTGGGACTGCCTACACTTCGCAAGGGTGTCTAACTGACCCGGAAACACTCCAGTCTTAACCCTGGAATTGGAATCAGGTCTCTGACTCCAAAGAGTAAGAATAACCGTGACCACTGTGGAGTTTCTATTATTTGTCAGCCACACTGCAAAAAAACCTATCTCTGTTTATCAATTACCCTTCAGAGTCCTTATTATTCCTACAAACAGAAAAGGAAAAGTAAGTTCCAAGAATTTAGGTATATATTGCTCAGGGCCACAAAATTAGTGAAAGTCAGAATTTTGTCTCCATATCTCTTGGGTTTAAAGCCAGTGCTCCTTTCATGGTATCTGCACTGCAAACACACATACACGTATATAAATATAAAATAAGTGCTGAGAGCTAAACCCATGCCTTAAAATGTGTGGTTTGCTCTATCAGCCTTACATTACTATTCTCTTATTTTGCGACTTAAAGATTAAGCAACTTCAAAGTAGGGTAATTTTGTGGGTCTTTTAAATCAGTCACTGAAAATGTTCTTCCTTAAGTTTGAGAGAGAAAGGACAAGGAAATCTAAAAAAGATAATGTGTAAAAGCACAAGCACATGAACAATGAAGGAGGTAAGCTACTGGGGCTGTTTAATAAA